AGCGTGTGTCGGCGCGTAGGTGTGTGTGAGCGTGAGCGTGAGCGTATGTCGGCGCACCGTAAGTTGTGTCTGTGAGCGTGAGCATGAGCGTTTCGGCGCTGAGTGCTGTCGTGTGAGCGTGAGCGTGTGTCCGGCCGCGTGTGTACGACTGTGCGTTGCCGTGCTTTTGAGTGCGTGATAGGCATGCGCTGTGCGCGCAGGCGGCGCGACACGTACGCGTGCGCGCTGAAACCAGGCAACGACGATACTCGCGCGCAGGCAGCGACGGAGAGACCTCGCCGTTTTGGTCGCCGTCGGGCTCGTAAGCGGACGGTAACGTAGGGCTGACATGCGACGCTCTCTCGCTCTGCTCAGCGCACGCGGGCCCCCAATCAACGCGCGCTGCGCCACACTAAACAGAGAGAGAATGCCAACTCAAGCGCGCAAGGAGTGTCGACCGTCATCTCTTAGGTCACACTCCTCGTGAATGGAACACGGTAGAGCTTCTCGCCGACGCAAACGTATACCATGACATAAGTAACACCGCAGGGGTCGAGGGGAGGCGACCCACGCAATTACCCGCGAACTCCAGCCGGAAATGCAGGCGCCGCCAGCAACCAAGCAATACAAGGTGGGACGGGCGTGGGAAGGTGTGGGTGGCGCGGGAGGTCAGTCAGCCGGTCGACGGAGCACAGATACAAGGTGACGCCGCGCGCGGGTGCGCCGCCTCGTGTAGCAGTGAAGAGGAGTCTTGCGTGATAAATAGAGAGATGAAAATAAAGAAGGTAGAGAGAACGCAGGTGGGAAAGAAGGAGAGTTAACGGGGGGAATGAAGTGCAGCAACAATCTAGCGGTACGAATTCTAGGGACAAGGGTGGGCGTGGAAGGGCGAAGGAGGAGGTGGCTAGTGAGCGGGTGGATCGGGGAGCTAGTGGTAGAAAATATCCAGAGTGGAAGGGGAAGCTAGCAGAGAGAGAAGTGGGGCAGGTTGGTGAAAGGACGGGGAATGCAGACGCCAACACCCGTAGACAGGAGATTCGCTCGAGAACGGCGAAGATAGAAAGAAACGAATGGGAAGAAGACGAAGGAATGGCAAAATGACTGAGAGTGAAGCAAGGGGGAGAGGGATTAATGAAGCGAGAATGCGGAAAGAAATTGCGTCGTGCGAAGTAGAGTCGTGTATTTGGCAAGAAAAAGATCAGAGGAAAGCGAGTCGAGAGATAGCGAGAGCGCAATGGCTCAGGTTTTCCGCGATACAAAGGTGTTAGAGTCTACAGCCGCCGTGTCCGCTAGTGGCTGCAACTTTCCGGCGTAGTTCAGGCCTGAGTCAGCACACCTGTGCGCTGTGTCTGTAGCACACCACTCACTGAATCTCTAATAACATCATAGAGTATTATAGAGATCAGTACACTGACACCACCCCACAGTTTCCACAGCCACGCAGTGTTGTAATGCATGTGTAACGTGTACCTAGCTGTCAGTAGTAAACGATTGCCTTAGTAATTCTGTTCACTTTTTATGGTTTAAATTGCCTGCCATTATTCTCTTCTTATTTTACTATACTAGTCCATGCCCGTTAGGTGGTCAGAACTTTTGGTAGCGACCACATCGTGGGCTCATGTGATGGAACGTTTTTAGTTTTGTGTCATTGGCGTATACAGTCAGAATATTTACCTGCAGGCACTTCCCACGCGGCTAGCAGTTGACCGTACAACTGGCCTCTGACTGAAGAAGTGTGACCGTGACACACACACACACACACACACACACACACACACACACCACACACCACACACACGCACACGCACACATAACACGCACACGCCACACACACACACCCACACCACACACACACACACACACACTACGCACACCATAAAACACCACACAACACATGACACTACACGCACGCACACACACACACACACACACAACACACACACACACACACACACGCACAACACACACCACACAACACACAGCACACACACACACACATACACCACACACCACACACGCCACACACCACACACACACACACACACACACACCACACACACACACACACACCAACACACACCACCACACACACACACAGATACACACACAACACACAACACACACACAAACGCGCGCGCCACACGCCACCCACACACACACACACACACAGCACACACACACCACACGACCAACGCACACACACACACACACACACACACACACGATACACATTACACACACACGCGCGCGCGCATTACACATACACACAACGCACACACACATACATTACACTACACGCACAATGCACACGCACGCACACACACACACCACAGTAGAAAACCTTACCTGCGACATATATGTGTTTGACAGCGGGCGACTTTCTTCTCATATCTTGTCGGTGCTTAATATCGATAATATTATATTTGCTTTGGTGTCATTAGCTGGGCACTTGGTGTAATAACCATATTTAACCAAATGAAAAACAATCGTGTACATTCTCTGGTTTGATTAGAGGATGCGC